AATCACATTTAAACTAAATGAAATGTTAAGGTCCGGGGAAAGAATTGACCTGTGGTATTCCCTACCGGTCGTAAAAGGCGACTAAAATGGAAGCGAATATTGTCTCCCGAATCAACTCCCATTAAGTTCCAACGGCTTCATGGGCACCCTCTTGCCGTTGTTGAGAGAAATCTCTCCAAAAGCCGAACGAACAACTAAACTCAACGGAATAGGATGCAGAAGGCAAATTGAAACCATACTAGTATCCCAAGTTGACGGTGGCAGAGGTGAGAAATGAAAAAAACAATGGATACTTGGAATCATAGTAAAATATCTCCTCAATCGGATATCTGGCAGGAGAAATAAATATAGGAAGTGTGAATACAAGAAGAAAAAGAGGAATAGGATTAGATTCGGGGAGCGAAATGTTAGAACAAAGCAGAAAATTAGAACACCTAGAAAGAGAAATTTCTAGAACTAATTTGGACTATATTGGTGTCAGTAAAGGGTGGATGTGAAGTAGAAAAAGGATAACATTTCCCCTTCTATTATAGTGTACATAAAAAATTGAGTGGGATTTATATTATACTAATCATCCAGGTATACACGCCAACAAGTGATCATGATGATGAAGAAATAGAAAAACTGTACGAAAGAATTAGAGGGATAATTAGTAAGGAAGAACAGAGATGTTGAAGATAATCATGGGAGATTGGAATGCCAGTGTGGGAGAAGAAGAGGTTAAGGGAGCGGTTGGAAAATACGGACTCGAAGAGAGGAATTAAAGAGGAGATAAACTGATTGAGTTTTGCAAAGAAAATATTTTGATTGTTACGAACACATGGTTTGAGAACCATAAAGAAGGCGCTACACCTGAAAAGCACCAAGAGACCTACTTAGGAAACAGGTAGATTTTGTATTGGTAGGAAGTAGATACAAGGACAGAGTCTGTGGGCTACCAAAAACTGATATATTCAGCGACCACATTCTCTTACCTGCAGGTTTAGAGATAAGACTGAAAATTTGCTGATAGTAGAAAATGGAATTTGGAAAAAGGAGGAAATAGGATGTAAAGTGGAAAGGGAAATAATAGCGTGGGGCGGAACAGCAAGAACGGAAGAAAGTGTGGAGAAACATTGGGGGAGGATAAAGGAAGGCGTAATAAAAATTGGCAAAGATATCGGTTTTAGCAAGGGGCCAAGAATAAAGAAACCTTGGATAACAACAAAAATGATAAATATAATGGAGGAAAGAAGGAAAGCCAAACATTTAAGGGCAGACGAAGGAAAAAGATTGTACAGAAAACTTAACACCTAACTAAGAAAAGAAACGGATAAGGCACGAACAGCATAATTATGGTTTGAAAAGGAATATAGGGAACTCGAAGAATTGGAGAAATTCGCTGGACATGATTTGGTATATAATAAAATGAAGAAAAATTTTTGAATCTGAACTGAAGTATCTAAAACGGAAAGAATTAGAAGAAACTGAAAGATAATTGGAATCTGAGCGTTCTGGTCGTTAATTTGTTAACTCCAATCATAAATTAAGTTATCAGTAAGGTTCTCAAACGTGTCAATCAAATTTTCTCAAAAATCAAGCACATTCCATGAAAATGTGTGCCCAAATTAAAGCAAGAAGACATTTTCATATTGAAGGGCAAAAGTCTGCGTGACGTAGCAAAGTGTTTTCACGTTACGAGTAACCTTAATAATATCACGACTACCAACTTTTTTGTACGTATTCAAATGTCGATTTAAACAAAGACACGGCCAACCAACTTTGAATTGGGCACTCGAAAGCCGATATGCCCATTTTTTATAACCGCGCGCTTCACAATTTCAATCCTGTTTATATCTAACATAATTTAAGAGGGTTAAAAGGGCGTGAACAGTCAAGTGCAGGGTGGGCCATCACAATTTTGTTTGGTTATGCTCTACGGTTGAACGTTAACATCCCCGACCAACACCTACCTACCCACATTATAAAAACCGTTGAACGCGTTGATACCCTTTAATTAGGTACTTATAATAGATTTTTTTAGAACGTTCACATGTCACGATTAGTTAACAACCTCGATGGTTGTATCCTGCTCGATCTGAACTAAATTGATAATTACACTTGCAAATGATTGTTTCGATCAATTGAATTATACTTCTTTTATAAGGTTAATTGTAATAATTGCTAAATCAGCATTTTTGATCGGCGAGTTATGGACGGTGACCTAATCTCAAGGATTTCAGGTGTTATAAGTCTTGTCAGTTTGGCGCCTCTGTTTTACCTGAGGGTCATTTTCTTCACTGACGCAAAGCTTAGTCATCAAGATCTAGACTTTTTTTGCATTTCAATGCATGCAAAATCTAGTGAGTCAGACGCACGGAATACATATCCTGTTCTAAATTTTAATTCCAACCAACAACAAAATATACTTGTTGTTCTGTAAGGGGAAATTTCGCAATTCTGTTATGTTGGATGGTTCGCGCGCAGAATTTTAAAGTATTTTGCGGTCCCATAGTACGAATTGCCATTTTACGAATTCAGATATATTACTCGTAATAAATGATTTCAAAATAGATCCCAAAACAGCAATAATTAGATCTCCAACATTCATTATCACGTACGGTTGTTGACGTCGGTTAGTTTTGGCGTTTGTTGGTTGATCTAATTATTCAATTTTAAATTATTATACAGGATGATGCATTAAGTGTGCAACAAATGGGACCTTTTTTGATTAGTTGCGCACTCGAAATCGAACGTTCGGCAGCCCACAACCATTTTACATGCAATTAGAATTGGTTCCAGTCGAACAGTATTAATACGGGGTACTATTGCGACGAACTTTACGGGTACCTCGAACGTTCGCGGAAGCTTACAAAATTTGAAAGAAGTTTTCCTGCGCTTCCGTTGGGCCACCTCCAAAACGAACCAGATAAACTAGCCGCCTTTCAACTCAACAATTACCAACTCTCCACTATCTCAAAAGCGTAAGATAAATTGAAGCCGCGTCTTGGTACCGCCAGCTGTTGCATTCCGATTTTAAAGCTCCACAAACTCCTCGGAAATAATCAAAACTGGCGTTGGGATGAAGATCAAGATTGAGCTTTCCTGTAGTAATGTGGATATGAATTGATGAATCACTAGCTAATTTTGTTAGAGAATAAAATACTGCAGGGTGGAATTTGAGAAAATATTATTTTAGGTTTCTATCCCATTGGAATTTTTTTTGCACCTTAACAGTCGATCGCTTTTCGTTGAATTTTGCTTTATTAAAAAATATTTTTTTGACTATAACTTTTGATCAAGTTGTAGGATCGTGATCTTTTCTAATTCTATAGGACAAAGTTATTCAAGGTAGAGAAGAATCCTTTACCATCCGCTTAACTTCTTTTTTATAATGCGTAAGCAGTAAAATATTTTTACTTTGGGTATATGATGTAGCTACACAATCATAAGACCTCACTTCCAACATTGAAAATGGTTAATTTTATGGTCATAATAGTCAGGACGGAAGTTCTGCAAGAAATAAGTAGCATCCCTTGTGATCGCGCCGCATTATACTTCAACTGTGTAAGTGGCAATTTATAAGGTAATCATAAAAAGGATAACTACTCCACTGCAACTTGTAACGCAGTTACGATTCTTGTCGTTATAAAAGCATTTTATTACCCCATCATTTGCGTGCGTTAATAAAGTTTCTTGTAACTTTCAATAATTTTCCACGTAAAGTGTTACTAATCAAGTATCGCGTTATAATTCTCGGCGGAATCAAACGTGGAGTTTTTACGTTTCCCTTCTCATTTTAAACGAGAACATTTAGCCCAAGGATCATAAATTATTTCAAAACACAAATTTTTTCTTAATTCCCAGTTTCAACACCGACGAGGGTAAAAAAAAACGGTTTTCCTAAACGTTAACGACCGTGATTACATAAATAATAAAAGAGACTGAGTTTCGAGTGGTATAATTTAATAATTTTTTTTCAAAACTGTACCCGATGTTTAGCCCACATTTGATTGTTAAAGGATCGACACCTGCTAAAAGTTAATAGCTGTGATTTCTGCTTCGATGACCTATGCAGGTGTTTTAACAGGTGTGTGCATGTGTGCATGATGGTATATGTTACCTATGTATATGCAGATCGCGAACGCTTGACCTCATAAGTGACGACGTGCATGTTAAGTCAAGTGAGCGACTAGTTTTGAAAAATTAACGGACATTGGGTACCTTCCTGCACCCTTTAGATTCCTTTTGAGATTTTAGAATCCGTACTCGATAATTACTATGCGGTGATACACAAGGATAATCTCCAGTAGCCATTTATTACCTTCGATTTGCATACATTTCCAATCTGATTGGCCTGACGGTGGCGATTAGTAGCATGATTCTGTTTTCGCGTAATTTAAATTTTTAATAAGCGTGAAGCTGCACGAAATTACAATTTGGGTATCCGCTGGTCATTAAATTATATAGGGTGACTTCAATTTGGCTATTCGGCACATTTTACAATTGATATGCTTTCATATAACTTAGCGGCTGCTCGGCGTCGGTGGCAGGCGACCAGGCCTCGGCGCATGTAAATGCTCCTGGAAGAGAAGAGTTCCCTCGGCTGACGAGGGAAATAAATGCGACCAATGAGACGGAGGACTCTGTGCCCCGGTTCTTGGTTGTTAAAAGGAAGGAAGGTGACTTCGTCAAAGTAAGTCCCTTCCTAATAAGTAAGACTATGTATGGACTATTGGGGAATGTAAAAGATCTAAAGAAAGTAAAAGGAGAACTATTAGTTGAAACGGTATCTAGTAAACAATCAAAACACCTACTTAAATTGCAGCGTTTCGGAGAATTTGAAGTTAATGTCGAACCCCACGGTGCACTTAATATCTCAAAGGGAGTTGTTTATTGTCGTGATTTGTTGAACTGTTCAATTGAAGAAATAAAGGAAAATCTTAAGGGGCAAGGTGTAATAGAAGTGAGACGGATTAGAGCAAAACGAGATGGAGAGTTTCATGATACTCCCAATCATGTACTCACCTTTAATGTCCCACGACTACCAAGATCGATACAGGCAGCGTTTTATCCACTGAAAGTTCGTCCTTATATACCTAATCCGTTGCGGTGCTTTAATTGTCAAAGGTTTGGTCATTCGTCAATGAATTGTAAGCACGAACAGAGGTGTGTCTGTGGCAAACCACCACATGGTGTTATCCCCTGTGAAGTACCAGTTGAATGCCCAAACTGTCAAGGGCCACATAAAGCAATTACCAAATCATGCGCAGTGTTTCAAAAAGAAATGAAAATACAAGAAGTTAAAGTGTTACATAAATTGTCATACCCTGAAGCTAAGAAGAAGGTAGATACTATGGTAATCCCTAGTACGTCGTTTGCGCAGGTCACGACCACGCCTGCACCCATGCCAGCACAATCGATTGCTCCTGAAATAAGGAAAATTATTAAAGAAGAGATGGAAACCTTTATGAGAATACTTACCACAAGAAAGGCTTTGGAAAACTACCCACTACATGCTTTCCAAGTTCCTACAGGAACTGTCACTGCAAGAGGAGAAAAACAAACATTTAACCCTTTCTCCGAACCTACTACATCTTCCGAGATTGAAAATATGGAAACAGATACACGAGGGGCTAAGCGTAAAACACCGATAACTAGGTCGCGGTCGTCTAGAGACTCGAGCGTGACTTCGGTGGATGAGGAAGCTGTAAAAGAGGCTAAGGAAGGAAAAAAAGATACAAAAAAAAAGAAAGGGTGGCCGGCAGGCAAACCCCGAAAACCAAAGGCAACTGAAGAGGTTGCAGAGAAGCCTGTGACTACTTAGTACTCAACTGCGATATTCTTATGTGATTATTGTCTGTGATACATATACTTACTTATTAGTTTTGAATACATTTTATCTATTTTTTTGTCTGTATTTGTCTTTTTATTTATTCATGCAAATATAAAATAACTAATAACTATTATATTCAACTCGTACAACAGCATTATACAGTGGAATTGTAGAGGTATTGTTAAGCGATATACGGATCTGAAAATGTTATTGCATGAACGGAACCCCATATGTCTCTGTATACAAGAAACCCATCTCAAACTTGGTCAACCATATTCCCTGAGAGGATATGATGTTGAGCGAAAAGATTTTATCGGCGCAGAGAGGGCATCAGGGGGAGTAGCAATCATAGTTAAAAACGGAGTGAAATTTGAAAGAGTCGCTCTAAATACACACCTCCAGGTGGTCGCTGTCAAAGTAAGTGTCCCATTTAAAATTACTTTGTGCAATGTTTACTTACCTAATACGAACTGGGTAATAGTGGATATTGACAATATCATCAGTCAGCTGCCAACACCGTATATTGTTATGGGTGACTTCAATGCGCACAGTACATTATGGGGATCAATGAGAACCGACAATAAAGGACATATCCTAGAAGATTGGCTGACCAGGAATAACATAGTTCTCCTTAACAATGGGGCATTTACTTACCACAATGCCCGATCTAGAAGCTTCGATGCTATTGATTTAACGTTGGCTTCGCCAAATCTAATTCCGCGGTTGACATGGAAAACTATAAATGATCTACATAACAGTGATCATTTTCCAATTATCGTCGAAACTGATACCATCATGCAAGATAAAGCAGTTGCTAGTAGATTCATTACTGGTAGAGCTGACTGGACACTGTTTCAAGAACATCTTGTAGCACCAACCGACGTGAATGTTAAAACGATAACGAAGGCTATATTGGTTGCAGCGATGAAGAGCATACCAAAGACTGGAAACAAGCCTGTGAAGAGACCCATTCCATGGTGGAATCAGGATGTAAAAGTAGCCATCAGAAACAAGAGTGTTGCATTTAGACTCTACCAAAGGCAACCTACCGTTGAAAACCATATCAACTTCAAACGAGCGAGAGCAATAAGCAGACGAGTCGTATTGAGAGTAAGCGTCAAAGTTGGATTAAATATACGTCAACCATCAATGCAAATGCTGATGTGGGCGATACCTGGAAAAAAATAAGATCCATATGTGGCAAATATAAAAGTCAAGGTATACATTCATTACAAACACAAGACCTAGTCTTGGAAAAACCAGAAGAAATCGCGAACGCTTTGGCCAATCAGTTTGCAGTAGTTAGTAGCTCCGGAAACTATCCCCCCACCTTTTCTGAAACAAAAAATCAAAGAGAGGTTGAACTACCATTCTATACATCCGATAATCTTGTATACAACCTACCTTTTACAATGCTGGAGATGGAGTTTGCTTTACAAAAGGCCAGGAACACAGCACCTGGACCTGACCAGATAGCAAACGAGATGCTGAAGAATCTGACGCCTGAAATGAAAGAATCGTTACTGTATCTGTATAACAAATTATGGGCAGAGGGTACTTACCCAGATGAATGGAAAGAAGCAGTGGTGATACCAATCTTAAAACCCAAAAAAAATCCATTGTCTGCAACTAGTTATCGACCAATCAGTTTGACGTGTTGCATGGGTAAAATCATGGAGAGGATGCTAAATAATCGATTACAGTGGTATTTGGAGAAAAACAACTTCCTAGTGCCATATCAGGCTGGTTTCAGGAAACACCGATCTACCACCGACCATCTGATTATTTTAGAGCACTGCATACAAGAGGCATTCCGCAAAAGAGAACATCTGGTGGCTGTTTTCTTTGATGTGAAGGGCGCGTATGATATGACATGGAGGTATGGCATAATAGAAAAAATGTACCAATATAACTTGAGAGGTAACTTACCATTGTTAGTGAAGTCCTTCCTAACAAACAGGCGTTTCCGTGTAAGAGTTGGTGATAAGTTCTCCGATGATAAGCTTTTGGAGAATGGAGTTCCTCAGGGATCGACTCTCAGTTGTACTCTATTTGCTATAGCAATAAATGACATATGCTCTAATACACCAGAAAACATTTCTAAATGCATGTACGTTGACGACATAGCCATCTTCACATCAGGGAAAACGGTAGGAGAAATAACTCGCAAACTACAACCTGTAATCAATCAAATTGTTGGGAATGCCGAAAATATAGGTTTAAGTTTTTCACACGAAAAAACACAATGCGTCCATTTTTGCAGGTTAAGAAGGCCACACTATGATCCTGTGCTATATCTGACGAACCATAACATCAGATGCTCGGAAGCTGCTAAGTTCCTTGGTCTCACGTTTGATAGATCCCTTACTTGGAGAACTCATTTAGAGCACTTGAAGACTAAATGCGTCAACAGTCTCAACATACTTAAAGTATTAGCGCATACCAAGTGGGGTGCAGATGCTAACTGCCTTATTCGAATTTATCAAGCGCTCATAAGATCCCAAATGGATTATGGTAGCATTGCCTATTCGTCGGCACGTAAAACGTTACTGACAATATTAGATCCTGTGCAGCATGCTGCTATAAGGTATTGTATAGGAGCATTTCCTACGAGTCCGGTAGCCAGCCTACATTGCGAATCTGGAATTTCACCACTTGATACGAGAAGAAAACAGTTAACTTACTGTTACATGGCTAAACTACTGTCATTACCCCGTCACCCTAATAGCATAATTTTCAGTGTGGATAAAAATGCTTATAGAATGCGACCTACTATTACTAGACCAGCAAGTGTGAGGTTTTATGAGGATATTCAATTGCAAGGTATCGCTCTTCCGGAAATTCTGGAAAACACTACACAAGAGTTTGCACCGTGGATGACTCCTGCAGTCGAAATAAGAACGGAACTTGCGAAATACAAAAAGTCAACTACAAACAGTAACACTTATATACAGAAATTCCAAGATATATGTAATGAATATCCTTCGTATGAAATCATCTATACTGACGGGTCTAGAACGGAGAGTGGTGTTGGAAGTGCGATGGTGATTGGAGAAGAGTCCTATGAATGGAGTTTATGTTCGTGGTCCTCAATTCGCTTTGCCGAACAATATGCGCTGTGGCAGGCGTTGTTATATTGCTCCATCGGCGATAGACAAAATGTTATCATCGTCACAGATTGTATGGAAGCAGTGAATGGGATCTCTGAAATATATCCTGTTGATGCGATGACGAAAAGATGCCAGTCCATTCTCAAGTTCTTAAATGGAAAAGAGGCTATAATTATTTTATATGGGTACCAAGTCATATTGGTATACCTGGAAACGATCAAGCAGACCATGCTGCATGCCAGGCTGCGTTAAGTAATCACATTGATGTTAACCTTATACATCCGTTGGACTTAGGAGAATACCTGAAAAAGAAAAACCGGTTAATGTGGCAACAAAAATGGGCTGAAAGTAACACTCACCTGACCCGAATAAAACCAGATGTACGGAAAACTTATGTGTTAGACCAGGCCACTAGGGAAGAAAATGTAAAAATGCACCGACTGCGAATAGGGCATACGCAGATAACGCACCAACATATTCTTAAGGGTGAGATTGCCCGACAGTGCGAAACGATGTGGGACTACTGTAACCATTCGGCACATAATTCAGGAATGCCCCATGTATAACAACGAAAGGGCGCTGCATAAGTTTAAATCGAGAATATGTCGAAAAACTTCTGTGCAACGTAAATGCAAAAAAGTACCCTAAGTTTTCTAAGAGAAATAGGTATATACAGACAGATCTAAAGTGTAGTGAGAGATTGGGGCGCCCTAATTGGGGTAATATTGCCATAGCAGTTAATGCCCTCAAAAAAAAAAAAAAAAAAAAAAAAAAAAAAAAAAAAAACTTCGAAGTAATCATCAACTCGAACTATCCAATATTTCCTCACTTTATTGGGACGCATTTCTTTATGAAGACTGCAGGTGTCAAATAGTAGAAATTCAAAATTATACCTAAAAAACGATTTTTTAGTAAAGACAATTCTCCCTAAAACCGAACAAAAAATTTCTTAAATTTCTTAAAAAAATTGTCGGGGTCCAAAAGTAACATCAAACGTATAACAGAAAAAAGTGAATAAAAAAAGGTATGTATAGTCTCACCCCCTAAATCGAATGAAAAAGTACTTGTCACAGATCGACTAGGAAACGAACTTTTTCAAATTAAATTATAGCCTGTAGAGCATATAAAAAGGTATATATTCTCCACATTCTCATAACGACATCAAAAATTTTAAGCAATAATTCATTTTTTAATGAATTCAAAATCGAAGTACTTGTCCCTGATTGAATGGGAAATAAAATTGTTTAATTAACTTAACCTGTAGAATTTCAAAGCTTAAATTTGTTATGATCTCATAGCTACATCAACAGTTACAGCTAAAAAACAATAGCAATATCAAAACAACTTTTTAATAGAGTATTATGGCATTGCCTCCAAAATCAAGCCAAAAGGAACGGATCGGTTATATACACGATTTTTAGAATAGATTTTGGTCTGTGGATCGGATCTCCAAAACCGTCACAATCCAAAAATTACAACAAAAATTATAGCGTTTAGTAAAGTAAAAGTGTGTGGCTTTCTCCCCAAAATCGAAAAAAGATTTCTTGTCTCAAACCATCTGGAAAATGAACTTTTTAAAAAAATATTGACCTGTAGGATCCTTTAAAAAATCTTTCGTACATTTTAATAAAATTATTAAATGCTCTAGATCTACATCACTACACCAGAAGTTATAGAAAGAAAAATCTACTGTTAATATATTAGATAATTAAATTTAAATTACTGTAGCGAATATTCTAGATTTCCCAATAGACATCGTGGACCATGAGACATTAGTCATCGACGATAAGAAAGTAAGGCGGAATGTGACGCATCCTTTCCGGAAAATGTGGCGTGTTTGTTCGAAAATATTCGAGAACGTTCTAGAACGACTAGTTTTTGCTATATAAGCAAAATCGAATTGTTTCGTTCGGAGCATTGATGCGGAATGCAGTATTAAGCTCCCGCTCGTGTTAAGTTATAAATTGTGAGTGATAAATAATAGCTAATTAATATTATATCCATTTCAAGATTAGTATAAATTTACTGTTATAGTAAATTGTAAATAAATAATAAATTTGCGTTACATTACTAAATAAGAAGTTGAAAACATACAAATGTCTAAGAAAAAAATTATTAACGAGTGTACATTGTACAGTCTTGTCTCTAATATTTAATGAGAGAAGTATGTACATCAGATATGCATTCAAAAATGACTGTATGCTTGTTTAAAAAACTTGACCTGAAGACTACGTACTTTTTTTTGTTAAAAAATTACGATTTTGTCAAAATTAGCTTTTGGGGATCCTAACTTTAAGTTTGAATTTGTGTGGTGGATTTGAAATTTTAAATGTATGGGGTGTTACGAGACTTGTATACATGGTGAAATTTTGAGATTAATATCCAGGGTGTTTAAGATAATTTAGGGTAGGTATCTTGGAGATTTTGTGTGCTAGTTAGAGTGTTATGTAGCTTTTCGCGTGAATTTTATATTTTAACAATTTGCAGAAAGGTTGAATTTGTTGAATTTTTTTGCAGTGAGATATTTTTCCATCATTTTGAATAAATGTCAAATGTGATACTTTTTCATGATGGGTGTCTGAACTCAAACCAAAAACACAAACCCTGAACATACATATACCCCTGGCGAAAATGACTGGCGCCTGGCCTGAGCCTGAGCTCTACTCATATTTGTCGTACCATAAGTGTGAATGTCGGGGTCTTTACGGCCGGTATTATAAAGCATACTTAATTATGTTGTCCGGCTAACAATGTTGTAAAGGCATATGTTTTTTCAAAGAATAACATCATTCTTTGCAAGAACATACTACCACAGGCCTAACAACATTGTTAACTGATAACATAGTTAATAGCAGGGGAGCTAGCTCGAAATCCAGTGAACGAGATTGATCAAAATTTATCCGATGAAGTTCCACTTTGCCCTATTGGAGTATACTAAAATCGACCGTCTGTCGCCTCAGGTCATGTTTCTTAAAGCTCTGCGGTACTCTTTCTGGTACCAATTCTAAATGGTTTTTTTATACCAAATAAACGTTGATAATAGCTCTTAAAAAATATTTTTAAAAAATCGCGAGCATTTGATAACTCCCTAAAAAACAATTCTTAGTCGCTGGAATCGTTAGGAAAAAATTGTCACAGACCAATTCCTAACAGGTTTTTGGTCTCGAAGATGCCCAAAACAATTCTTATCTCAATTCAAAAATTTGTAATAAAAAATTTGTAGCCTTGCTCTCAAATTGGGGTGAAAATCACTTGTCTGAGATCGACTGGGAAACGGATTTTTTTAAAGAAATTTTTGCGAGTGCGAAAGATACATTTTTCACGATCCAATAGACATCAAATGTTTTAAGCAAAATTTTAATAAAATAAAGTGTGTACAAATTCTCTTCATATAGATTTTGGCCTGTAGAATTAACAAAAATATCATCGATATAATTGTTTGTAAAACAGAACATTTAGCTTGTAAAATGGATATACGTTAAATTTGTCACGATCAAACAACTACATCAAACGGCATAGAAA